TGAGATCAAGAAAGAAATCAAACACTTCCTGGAAAAAAAGGAAAATGAACAAACAACCTAAAATCTGTAAGACACAGAAAAAGCAGTCCTGAAAGTTCACAGCAATACAGACATACTTCAAGAAACAAGAAAGCACTCTAATAAACTATCTACCACAACTACTAAAAGAAGTAGAACAAGGACAGTAACAAAAGTCCCAGGGAAGTAGAAGGAAGGAAATAATATAGAAGAGAGCAGAAATTAATGACATAGAAACTTAAAAAAAAAAAAAAAAAAATCAATGAAACCAAGAGCTGGTTCTTTGAAAAGATAAATAAAATTGATGAATCTTTACCCAGACTCACCAAAAAACAGAGGAACCAAATAAATAAATCTGAAATGAAAGAAGAGATATAACAACTGACCAAACATATACAAAGGATCATAAAATATTATGAGCAACTATATGCCAACAAATTGGACAATATGGGTAAAATGGACAAATTCCTAGAAACATACAATCTCCCAAAGCTAAATCAGGAAGAATCAGAAAAGCTGAATAGGCTGATAACAACTAAGGAAATTGAAGCAGTAATCAAAAAACTCCCAGCAAACAAAAGTCCAGAATCAGAAGGATTTACAGGCAAGTTTTACCAAACATTCAAAGAATTAACACCTATTCTATTCAAAATATTCCAGGAAATTCAAGACGATGGGATACTCCCAAGTTCTTTTTATGAGGCCATCATCATCATAACCCCCAAACCAGATAAAGACACCACAAAGAAAGAAAACTACAGACCAATATCCCTGATGAACATAGATGCTAATATCCTCAACAAAATACTAGCAAACTGGATCAAGCAATACATTAAAAAGATCATACATCACGACCAACTGGGATTTATTCCAGAGATGCAGGGCTGGTATAATATTCACAAATCAATAAATGTGATACTTCATATAAACATGAAGTGCAAAAATCATATGATCATATGAGTAAATGCAGAAAAGCATTTGACTAAATCCACCATCCATTTTTGATAAAAACTCAGCAAAGTGGGAATGGCGAGAACATACCTCAACATAATAAAGGTCATATACGACAAACTTAAAGCCAACATCATACTCAATGGTCAAAAACTAAAACCACTTCCCTTAAAAAAAGGAATAAGACAGGGATGTCCACTTTCACCACTCTTACAGAACATAGTACTGAAGTCCTTGTCACAGCCATTAGACAGGAAAAAAACATAAAGGGTATCCAAACTGGAAAGGAGGAAATAAAACTGTCATTATTTGCAGATGACATGATATTGCACACAGAAAACCCTCAAGACTCCAACAAAGTAGTACTATATTTGATAAATGAATTCGACAAGGTAGCTTGATACAAAATTAACATATGGAAGTCGATGGCATTTTTATACACCAACAATGAAGTCTCAGAAAGAAAAACTAAAAAAAAAATACCATTTACTATTGCAACTTGAAAAAGAAGATACCTAGGCATAAACTTAACCTAGGATATAAAAGACCTGTACTCAGAAAACTACAGGACACTGAAAAAAGTAACAGAGGAAGATATAAACAAGTGGAAGAATATGCCATGCTCATGGATTGGAAACATTAACAATAATTAAAAAGTCCACACTATCCAAAGTAATCTATAGATTCAACTGAATTCCTATTAAAATACCAACAGCATATTTCTCAGAGTTAGAACAAATATTTAAAAATTTATATCGAGTCCGGGTGGGCATGGCTCAGCAGTTGAGCATCAACCTGGGATCCAGGTGATCGTGATTCAATTCCCAGTCAGGGCACATGCCCGGGTTGCGGGCTCGATCAATGACTCTCTCATCATTGATGTTTCTCTCTCTCTCTCTCGCCCTGTCTTTTCCTCTCTCTGAAATCAATAAAGATATATTTAAAAAATAAAAATATATATGGAACCAAAAAAGACCCCAAATAGCCTCAGCAATTTTGTGAAAGAAAAGAGTGGGAGGGATCACTTTACCAGATATCCAAATGTACTACAAAGCCATTGTAATCAAAACAGCCTGTTACTGGTACAACACCAGATATATAGATCAATAAATCTGAAATAAAAGCAGCAATATAACAACTGACCCAACAGAAATACAAAGGATCACACAAAGAAAATATGGAACAGAATTTTTCTTATGGAGAAAATTCTCAATGGAACTGCAGATCCCAGAAATAGACCCACAACATTATGGTCAGTTAATATTTGATAAAGGAGGCAAGAGTATACAATAGTGTAAAGACAGTCCTTTTAATAAATAGTGCTGGGAAAATTGGACAGGCATATGCAAAAATTTGAAATTAGATCACCAACTTACTCCATACACAAGAATAAATTGAAAATGGATAAAACACTTAAAAATGTAAGTCGTGAAACCATAAAAATTCTGTAAGAAAACAGGCAGTAGCCCAGCCGCGGGTGGCTCAGTGGTTGAGCATTGAGCTAGGATCCAGGCGATCAGGGTTCGATTCCCGGTCAGGGCACATGCCAGGGTTGCGGGCTGGCTGATCAGTGACTCTCATCATTGATGTTTCTATCTCTGTCTCTCCCTCTCCTTTCCTCTCTCTGAAATCAATAAAGATATATTAAAAAATAAAAATAAAAAAATAAAAAAATGTAGCTATGAAAAAAAAGAAAACAGGCAGTAAAGTCACAGAAATCTCACGTAGTGGGATTTTCACTGCTACATCTCCTAGGGCAAGAAAAACAAAAAAATATATAAGCAAATGGGACTACATCAAACTAAAAAGCTTCTGCACAGCCCGACCAAGCGTGGCTCAGCAGTTGAGCATCAACCTAGGATCCAGATCATCATGGTTTGATTCCTGGTCAGGGCACATGCTGGGGTTGCGGGTAAGATCTCCAGGATGGGGCGTGCAGGAGGCAGCCAATCAGTGACTCTCTCATCATTGATGTTTCTATCTCTTTTTCACCCTCACCCTTCCTCTCTCTGAAATCAATAAAGATATATGTTTAAAAAAATAAAGATAAAAAATTTAAAAAAAGCTTCTGCACAGCAAACAAAAAACAGCCTTAAAATACAAGGAACCCCACCGTTTGGGAGAACATATTTGCCAAGGATGTATCTAATAAAGGGCTAATTTCCAAAGTGTACAAAGAACTTATACCACTCAGCAAGAGAAAGAAAAACAATCCAATTAAAAAATAGGTAAAGGACCTGAATAGACACTTCTCCAAAAAGGACATACAGATGGCCAAGAGATATATGAAAAAATGCTTACTCAAAGTTGCTAATCATCAGAAAAAGCAAATTAAAACCACAATGAGGTATCACTTCACACCTATCAGAATGGCTACCATCAACCAATCAACAAATGACATGTACTGGAGAAGCTGTGGAGAAAGGGGAACCCTAGTACATACACTCTTGGTGGGAAAGCAGAGTGGTGCATCCATTACCGAAAACAGTATGGAGGTTCCTCAAAAAATTAAAAATGGAACTGCATTACGATCCAGTGATCCCATTTCTGGGAATATAGCCTAAGAATCCCAAAACACCAATCTGAAAGAATATATGCACCTCTATGTTCATAGCAGCGCAATTTACAATAGCTAATATCTGGAAACAGCCCACGTGCTCATCAGTAAATGAGTGGATCAAAAATCTGTGGTACATTTTACACAATGTAATACTATGTGGCTGTAAAAAAGAAGGATCTTGTACCCTTTGGGGCAGCATGGATGGACCTGGAGATTATTATGGTAAACGAAATAAGTCAGTCAAGGAAAGACAAATACCATATGACATCACATATATGTGGAATGTAATGAACAAAATAAAATGATGATAAAAATAGAACCAGAGGCATGGATTCATGCAAAAGACTGACAAATGCAGAGGGAGCTGGGAAGGGTAGACTGGAAAAGATTATAGCTCATGGACACAGAAAAGTGTGTGATGAAGGACAGGAGATGTAGGCAAAGGATGGGAAAATGGGGGACATCTGTAATAGTGTTATTAATTAAAAAAAAAAGATGAGCTCTGATATTTTGTATAGAATGTGAACAGGTGGTCAAAATATGATGCAGTCATTTCAAAAGAACACAGAAATAAGTTGGAAAAGAATCTTACTGCCACTGTGAATCATAAGCATCAAAATAAAAACTGCAGTAAATAACCCACTAAAAACCTTTGAATCCACACTTAAAATATATCAATAAGTAAATAAACAGGACAAAGAAAACACCAATTGGTAAATGTAGAGAAGTGTCAGAATTTGAAATAAATAATAGTTTGCTATCCTGATTCAAGATCAATTCAGGCAAGAAAAATCAAGTGTAAAAGAGGGAGGCAGTTTGAGGAGGAGCAGTATATTTACACAATATCAATGCCACAGATTGCTTTTACGTTTTAAGTGTAAAAAGAGAAACCAGACCGACTGACTGCACAAACAAAATTAACCTAAACAATTAGTTTCAGCCAGATATTATATGCCTCTGAATGTGATTCCAGGTAAGAACACAACATCCATCACCAAGGTAGCATTCTACCCCTCACCTTAATAAGAGAAAATATCAGACAAACTCAAATTGAGGAACATTCCATAAATTAAGTGGTTTGAATTGTTTTAATGTCAATTCATATTAAAGACAAAGAAAACCTAAGGAAGTGCCATATTAAAACTAAATTATGTGTTTAGATATGTGCATATATATGAATATATAGTAAGTCAAAGAAAACTAAAGTACTGATTCTGAATAGACTTTCTGAGATTAAAGGAAGTGCAACTGCAACAGGTGGAGAACAGTAAACTGTAGCTTAATCAGGGGTGGAAATACAGATTTCAGTTATTCAAATATACAACTGAGAGTTAAATCATGAAAACTAAATTCAAGAGAAAGTGTGTGTGTGAGTGCACACATACACGTACACCAACAAGACCTTGTAGGTACTACAAGAACATATGCTCTTTTTTCCTTGATTAAACAATGGCAAACCTGACAAACTTACCGCCAGTGTTTCTCAACTCTTCGGCTCAGTGCAATTTTTTCTCCTATTTCTGTGCACACAGGATTAGTGAGAACTATTTTGCCCAAATCAGCCTTGACTGCACTAACTCTGCCTCCTGTCGACAGGGATCCTATGTTCACCATAAGCACTTCATTTCTAGACAGCTTTTGCACCTACAGAAATAAATTAGAAAAAAATAAACGCAAAACTGAGAGAATGCTTTCCAATATACAGTGAGCATTTAACAAATAGTACTGGGAATAAATAAAGTATAAAGGAACAAAATAAAATTCTACACTAATTACACTGTAATGGGATCTGAAGTATAAATATCCTGCAGGCATCAAAACAAAAGGTTTACTTAATGCTCAATGAATATACTCATGGTATTACTGTAAAATAAGCTTATGAAGTACAGAATAATCAATAAAACCTAAAAATTTGAAGGGTTTATAAAATTTCCTCAAAGGCACATTAAGACAATAATTAAATAATTAAGTGGATTTAGAGATCTAATTCCATTCATGTGACATAAGTAAGGTACTTAAACTTTCTAACCTCTATAAAATAGGGTAACACCTACTACTAAATAATTGTTAACTGCTATACCGCTATTGCTGTTGTCTATACTTATACCTCAATGCCCAAATACACATCAGTGTTTTCACTAAAAGTCAGAATAAAAATAAATCTTTATTAAAGGAACTTCAACAGAAATGACAAGTGTAAGTTTGATAAACGCGTAACAATGACAAGTTTTATAAACAAAAAATTTCTTTCCTATTGCTTTTTTTTGGTTAATCTTCACCCAAGGATATTTTTTCCTCACTGGTTGTTTGAGGGGGCGCCAGAGAGGAACATCAATGTGAGACACATCAATTGGTTGTCTCCCATACACTTCTAGATCCAGGCCAGAGATCGAACCTGCAACCAAAGTATGTGCCCTTTACTGCGAATCGAACCCACAACCCTTCAGTGACCCCTGTGACACTTTAAACAGTGGGAAACACTGGCTAGGGCATACCTATTGCTTTTTCATCCACATAATTTCTTCCTAACATGAAGAAATGACTTTCAAAATGTGAAGTGCTGCAAGCTGAATATATATATTCAATCTAAGGTTGCATAAGTGAAAGAAAAGTAAAAATGTAAGTACCCACACCGATCATTATAGTAAAACCTAAAGAAAAACTAGAGAACAGAATTTGATGGTGGTAAAGAAGACTTTTTGTTACTATAAAAAGCCCACTAGTGCCCTGGCGGTGTGGCTAAGTTAGCTGGAGTACCATCCTATACACTGAAGGGTCAGGGTTTGATTCCTGACCAGGGAACATACCCAGGTTGTGGGTTTGATTCTTGGTCAGGGCGTGTAGGGGAGGCAACCTATTGATATTTCTGTTTCACACTGATGTCTCTCTCTCTCTCTCGGCCTCTCCTTTCCTCTTTCTCTAAAAGTTAAAACATCCTTGGGTGAGAATTAAAAAAAAAAAAAAAAAAAGCCCACTGTTAAAGTTAATATAAAATTCTACATTGTACCCTAGCCAGTTTGACTCAGTGGCTAGAGCAGTGGACTGTGGACTGAAGGGTCCTACCTTTGATTTTGGCTAAGGCACATACCTCAGTTGCAGGCTCGATCCCTGGCCCCAACTGGGGAGCATGCTGGAGGCAATCAAGAGGTGTCTCTCTCTCACG